TCTATCTATCTATCTATCTATCTATCTATCTATCTATCTATCTATCTATCATCTATCTTAGATATATGGATTTAGAAATACACACACACACACACACACACACACACACACACACCCCAGTGTAACAATCACTTCTAACTCCAACTTTGCTTCTACATTGGCTATTCTGTTTGGGATTAGATCCTTCACTTCTTATCAATAAACACATTTCCTATGGTTGGACCTACACCCAGATATAGGTTTCCCACTAGAAACCTCCCTGAAGTTCTAGATGCTAGAAGTTTCCTCACTTTGTAAAATTTGGAGCCAACAAAATATGTTGTCATAAATCTTCTTTTCTAGGTTTAGTGACTCCCAGTGGCCCTTGTTTGCCTGGTTACTACTGTGTTCTGAAGGCCTGGAGACCAAATCCTGTTCAAGATGAAACTGGAAGTTTATGTCCTGCAGGGCATTTTTGTCCCTTGAGCAGCAACAGACCCACCCCATGTCCCAAAGGAACATTTCTCCCCCTACCTGGCATGTTATCTCAGAATGCCTGTTTGCCCTGTCCTGGAGGAAGCTTCTGCCAAGGAGAAGGGCTGGCTGCTATTTCTGGTAGGTCATGTACTTCTTAAATATACCAATATGTTGGGAAGTGTTCAAGCATACTGGGTGCCATGTCCATGCATGAAGGTCCATTCAAACTGATTCATTACTCAACAGTAAGGTACTTGTTGAGGTATTCCCCATTAGGAGAATGAATACACTCAGGGAAACGTTGTGAGAGTGGTGTTGAATAACACACGACCAGCATACAGATACACTGAATAGTAACATGTAGGTTCTACTTCCAGTAAATGGGTAAACAAAGTCCAACAAACAGTCCAAATCATACACGGTTAAAGCAGTCAGTATTCACAACCATCAGTCCAGGGATAATCCAAAAACAAATTCCAGTATCATAAACAAAGTTCAGTAAACAGAGTTTGCTAACAGTTGCAAGACTCACAGCAATCCAAGCAGAATGACGATCAAGCAAAAGCAATAGGGAAAATGCAAGAAGAGAGAACCAGGTTTCTGGCTCCATCTTATGGCCATTGGAGGAACCTCAGCCAATCATTCTCTTAAAAATACAACAGTATTAAATAACTATCCTGGTTTATATATTGCCAACCCAACTGTTAGGTGACTATCATTCCTAACAGGCTTCTTCTCAACTAGTGGTTGGCATCTACTTGGAGTTCAATAAAAGTCAATTCACAGAGTGGGTTGGATTTAGTGTGCTTGTGTCAACGTAGGGATTCTAGGCTGATCCCTCTTTTAACTCCACCCTAGTTTCTGCCACTCCTCCTACACTAGGTGCTAGTCTAAGAGAGAGGTTTAGTTTATTTCTTCTTTCAAATGGATAACTATAGCTTTATTTTATGCCTTTGGTCTGTGGCTGTCAACCAAGGGAACTCAACAAGTCAATTTCACGATGGTTTTCTTACTGTGAACATTGCAGGCAATCTGGTCCTTAAATTAAAAGCCTTAGTTTGTTTTGGGGCAATGGATAGTGGAGGGACAGCAAAGTCAAGATAACAGGAGTCCAGCTCTTGATGGGAAATTAAATTCTGAATGTCTACATCTATCTCTCCAATACTGCTCAGTTGGCTTTCAGTGATCTCTCAATGCCATTTATTCAGTGAAGTAGACATGGAAAATTCAATGAGTGATTCCAGGCACTCACTGAATGCCTCACCGTTGAGCTACACAACGGTTGTGATCTCTACATTCTATATCCGTGCTGGACTGTCAGGTTTATAAATTGAAATATGGAGCTTCCAAAGAGGATTAAGTTTAGTACCCTCATTTTGGAGGCAATGAACTTTGTGGTGAATGCAACATGTCATGAAGATCATCCATTTGCCATTCTGAAATATTTTGCTTTGCAGGGAGGTGTCAGGCTGGTTTCTATTGTGACTTGTCCTCTTCACGTCCCGATCAAAACCTCTGTCCCCCTGGATTCTATTGTCCCCAAGGCACTGGGACCCCTGTTCCATGCTTGCCAGGGACCATCAATCCCCATAGTGGAAAATGGGATATCACAGACTGCAAACTGTGCCCAGCCGGGAATTTCTGCAGTGGTACGTGCAAACTTTTCATTTACTGTTTTAAATTGGAGGGAAAGATAATTTTGGTGCACCTGAAGGGATTTTCTTATGACATAATCAAAATTATGAGTAGATCCTTCTTCTCTTGCTGATTTTAGGGGCAGGAAAGACTGCTCCAGAAGGGAGTTGCTCTCCTGGCTTCTACTGCCCACCTGGCCAAGTCTCTTCCACTCCATCTTCCCACCGGTGCCCACGTGGATTTTATTGCCTCGAGGGTTCTGTGGATCCAGTCGCTTGTGAAAAGGGAACCTACCAATCAGAAGAAGGGAAGGAATCCTGTGGTCCCTGTCCTGTCCGATTCTTTTGTGAGCCCACCAACAACAGTAAGCCCAAGAGAAATGCAATCGTTGGAGGCAAAGACTGACTTTGCACAGAGCTAAGATGCACTGCCACTTAATTTGGGTTGGTCTGATGTTGGCTTAGTGTGTTGTCTTAAGCCAAACTTTGCACTTTGTAAATGATGTGTATAGCTTAACATGATTTATATGCCCAGCCATTGTGTCTGAGTTAACAATCCAAGATTTACATGGCTTAGGGCAGTGGTGATTAACCTTTTCGGCACCGAGTGCCGAAATGGGAATGCGCATGCACCAAAAAAGGAACCAAGTGCCAGAATGCAAGTGCATGCGCACACGTACGCTCATGCCAAAAACTGGAAGAGCAGCACCCAGCGCGTGCATGTGCACTGGCCAACTGGTCTTTCAGCTTCTAATGTGCATGCGTGTGCAAAGACTAGCTGGCTGACTGGTTTCTAACATGCATGTGTGCACTGGCCAGCTGGTCTTCACACACGCATGCATGTTAGAAACCAAAAGACCAGGTGGCTGACATGCAGGCGCACGCTGGGAGCTCCTCTTCTAGTTTTCAGCGTGAGCGCACACATGTGTGAAGACCAGCTCTCCAGTGCACACCAGAACCCGGAAGAGCAATGGGCAACAGCTGGCATGCCTGGAGTGATGGCTCTATAGGATTTTCTTTCTGAAAATAAAGGCACCTTGTCCTTAAAAGTAAACATTGCTACCAAAAAGCTTTCAAAAATGCTCTTTCTTTCCTAGATGATGGCATCCCAGTTTCTAAGCTGTGTCTTATGGGGTATTTTTGCCCACCTGGGACTGCTTCTAGCAGGGAGCATCCATGCCCCAGAGGTACCTATGGACCCAAGGCTGGTGCGGCTGATGAATCTGAGTGTGAATCCTGCCCAGCAGGTAAGAGAGGGGCTGGATCCAAGCTTAGAAAAGGATGCCCAGAAGTGAAAGATGAGAATGTCTTGTTTGCCATTCACAGTCTGTGTCCTGCCCCTGGTGGAGACTGACTCTGAGGGAGAGGAGGAACAGCCGACAGGGAGTGGAAGTGGGGCTCCGGAGGTTGTGGAGGAGGCTGGGGAAGGGCAGAGGCCGGCTGGGCAGTCAGAGGAGGACCCAGGCCCATCCCCTATCCATCCTAGGGCATGCAGGGAGGAGAGGATAAGGGAGAGATGTGGTCTACTCGGGAGGAGCAGGCCTTGATCCTTTTCATGGGCTGCAGCTGTGACAACTGGATAAGACCATGGACATGCATACGGGCGAGTGCTGGAAACAAAGCATGGAAATATCTCTAGTTTATTGTTCCTCTCTGAGTTTGGCGTCCTTCCCGGTGTGTGTTCTGATATCTGTGGATGTCTCCAAGCCCTTATCTTGCCTGGTTTGTGTTGTCTTTTACTCTTTATAATTTAAATGGCATTTCCTCCTTCTTGTAACTGCTTGTGTGGGAGTTTTTTTGTCTCCAGTCAAGGATATTTGGAGCTTGGAAGCAAAGTGAAGGAATAAAAGGAGCTTCACCTGTTTTTTGTGACTGTGTTTATTTTGTATCCCACGCTGGGTCATCACAGTCTGGGAATTCTGCTGTTGTCTTTTCTCTCCTATAAAAGGCATGTATTGTTCATCTCCTGGACTATTTCAGCCAACCGGGCTTTGCCATGAAGGCTATTACTGCAGCAAAGGGGCAGTCAGCTCAACTCCCATTAGGCACAGAGTAAGTGGAAATGACAGAATGTAATAGCTGGAAGGGACCTTGGAGATCTTCTAGTCCAACCCCCTGCTCAAGCTGGAAACCCTATACCATTTCAGACAAGTGGTTGTCCAATCTCTTCTTAAAAATAGCAAAGTGTTTGAAGACAATGTGGCATGTATAAAAATGTCAACAGGAGATCGCATTGAAAGCAGGAGTAAACATGAAGACATCAAATATTGTAATGTTAGGGAGGCCGTAAGGGAGAAACTAGTAAGATTACAGCATTGTCCTACTAACTCTAATATAGCTGACACACTAACAAAGCCTGTATCTGTGGACAAATATCAGGACTATGGATTGTCAACTGTTCAGCTTTAAATGGGAGGAGTGTTAAGGTATTAAGATTTAATGCTGACCATCTGCTGATGCAATGAGGATGAATCAACATAGTTATTGCTGCTTTAAGACTGAGGATGGGTCCCACAGGGTTTTACCACTTTAAGAAGCTGTCTCTATATATGAGGCCATGAGGAGGCGTATCTCTTTCTCCTTGTGTTCTGTCTCCATTGTGGTTCTTTGTGCAGAGTAAAGGAAATTGATTGATTCTGTAGGCGTGGCTTGGTGGGCATGGCAGGGGAAGGATACTGCAAAATCCCCATTCCCTCCCCACCCCACTAACCTGCTTCCAGCTCCATTCTCCTGTGCAGGGCAACCAAAGAAGACCAAGCCAATCAGCTGGGACTCAGGAGGCAGAGAATAGATGGGGGCGGGGCCAGTCAGAGGTGGTATTTGCCGGTTCTCTGAACTATTCAAAATTTCCCCTACCGGTTCTCCAGAACTGGTCAGAACCTGATGAATTCCACCTCTGCTGTTATTTACAGTTCATTGTCTGAATTGGTAGTTCCTTGATTTTCTTCTTAACCAGAGTCTATTGATTTCTTCACTTCCTGTTCCTTTCATCTTTGTACAGGTGGATTCTGCCTATCCTTTGACAGGGAATGACATCTGTCCCAGAGGACATTTTTGTCCCCCAGGCACTGGCTTTCCCATGCCTTGCCCACCTGGCTCCTTTTCCACTATGATTGGCCTGAAAGCTGAGGGTGAATGCCTTCCTTGCCCAGCAGGACACATCTGCAGTCAGTCGGGGACATCTGGCCTGTCCCAGATGTTACCATGTAATGAAGGGTAAGATGCAGACTGGCAGGTTCTTCCCGGCAGAGAAATGGGGCATCCCAAAACCACTTTCTCAAAATAGGCCATCTTGAGTGTGGCAAGCAGATCTGGCAATGCAGTAAGACGGGCTGGGGAATTATGGGAGTTGAAGTCCACACATCTTTAAAGTTGCCAGAGCTGAGAAACACTGAGATGGCATTAAACAACTTCTCTATCTCTCGGGGCGACTGAAACAGAGATCCAGCCTCTTCTGGAAATCTGTTTTGAATGATCAACATTTAAGGGAGTTCAATATTTGAGGATGAAGAATTTTCCCCTTTAAAGGAAAAGCCAAGTTTTTAAAAGTACAGCTGCTCCTTTCTTATATTCACAGGTATGTTTGCCTTGAAGGCAACTCTGTGCCCTGCCCTAATGATGGGATACATGGGTATCGGTGCCCTAAAGGCTTCTACTGTCCCCAGGGCGCCAGCTCGGAAGTGCCCTGTGAGCCTGGGATGTTTAGCCCCACTGATGGAGCCAGTGTCTGCCTCCCTTGCCCAGCAGGAACTGCCTGTCGACGTGCTGCCATGGTGGAACCAGCCATCTGCCCTCGAGGTAATGCAGGTTGGCAAATGCAGGTTGATACATAGCATGGGAAACAAAAACTCCATTGGATGAAGATTAAGGAGGACGTCCTCTTTTGCTCTCATCCAATGTTCTTCCATGCTATTTATAGCTTCCAAATGATGGAAAGGCATAGTTCTGTACTGGAATGACCTCTTCTGGAATCTAGTTCTGGATACATAACTTGAAAAAGTGTCCAGTGAAACTGGAATAAAGTCAAAGAAGGATAAATGCAGGTGATTAGGAGATTAGGCACAAAGATCTACCAGGAAGGACTGAGGGATATGTGTAACTTTTGAAAAATGTCATCAGACACCTGGAACATATTACCACATGTGGTGGTCATGCACAGAAGCTAAGAGATATTGAACAAAAATACATACGTGGTTGGAAAAGATGATAAAACAACGTATAGACCTAAAACCTGAAATATTTTTGTTATGGATGATACCAGAAAGTTATAGTAAAGAAAAGACATATCTAATTATTCATGTATTAACTGCAGCTAGAATAGTATTTGCTCAAAACTGGAAAAGTGGAAAAAAAACTGATAGAGGACAGTGTGATTAGGAAAATATTAGAATGTGCAGAAATGAATAGATTAACACTGGCAATTAAAGGAAAAGAACAATCTGAATAGGATATGATATGGGAATTATTTTATCAATGGTTGGAAAAGAAAATGGCAATTAGAAATTAAATATATGAATATAGAAGATATAGAGAGAGAGGGTATATATGAATATAGAGAGGAAGGAATTAAAAGGGGGAAGGTTACAACGATAAGATATATAATGTATATTCGTTCAAAATAAGAATGTAATGTAATTGTTGTTGTTATGGTAAGGAAATTGTATTAACCACAAATATTATGCACAATTGTACCCAGACGACACACTGTATAAAGAAAAGATAGAATGTTTGTAAAATAAAATAAACAAGTTTACACACAAAAAAAGAAAAAGACAACTTAAGGGATGTCCTGGAGAAATACGTCAAGATCTATTCTCCCTCATCTCATGGACAGCCAGGATATAGATAATTTTCTATGTTATACAAAGGCAGTTTCTATTTCAATGTAGGGCCTCTTTCTCTGAATATGATCAAACCTAAAGTGGATTATCCACAGATCTTTTCCTTTGGATTTATCACTTGGCAGGAAGTGTAATTTGGGGGAAACCTTTATTCTAGATCAGGGGTGTCAAACTCGATTTCATTGGGGGCTATATCAGGGTTGTGTTTGACGTTGGGGAACTGGGGTGGGCGTGCCCAGGGTGAACATCGCCAGCTCAACATCACTCGTGTTGAGGGTGTCTATGGTGGCTCAAGCACTCTGCCAGTGAAAATGGGCTCCTGAGCTCCGTCTTCAGCTGTGAGGGCTTCCTGCAACCCTCTGCCAGGGAAAATGGAGCTCATGAGGGCCACCAGCTCTCCTCCCAAGCTCCATTTTCACTGACAGAGGCACCGTGGGCTGGTCCTTATCCATGGTATCCAGGGCGGCCCCACAGGCCAGATCTAAGTACTTGCGGGCCCTCGGGCCTTGAGTTTGACACCCCTGTTCTAGATTCATCAGGTCTCCACTTCTTTGGAAAATATGGAACGTAGTATGAAACCTCAAGTTAATGTCATCCATCCTACTTGGTCTGGACGCTGAAACTAAGCAAGGTCCAATGGAGTTAGTACTTAAGTAAAAACTGGTAAGATGTGTAATGCAAAAACTAGGAAGTCATCGTGATTGATGTTGCCAGGGAAACTGTGTAGACGAAGTCATCAGAAATCAGCCTCGGTTCAAAGAACTTATTGACATTTCAAGCATGACTATAGCTTATTGATTCAGTAACCTCACTTTTCACAGGGTATTACTGCCCAGCCCAGACAGCCATGCCCATACCATGTCCAGCCGGTTTGCTAAATGCCCTGGAGGGAGCCTCATCCTTCAATGCTTGCAAGCCATGCCCAGTTGGAAGCTACTGCAGGGGTGATGCCAACTGGAAGCCTGATGGTAAGAAACCTTAGCTACCCACTTCTATTCTATCCTCTTCTTTCTTTAAAGAAAACCAAGATTGCCATGTTGTTTTTGAAGCTATGGATGTTTCTGTTTCATCTTGCAAAATGCTTAGGCAACTGTGTCTCTATGTGAGACTCTCACAATCTCCATTGCCCCTTCCTGGACCATCTTATGGGCAGTTTATTCATTCTCAACAGAAGAGAAATTGTGATGACCCAGGGTGTGGCACAAAGGCAACACAGTCAGATAAGCGATAAGAGTCCCTTTATTACCTCCAACTTTGCTCCCAATGTCCTGGTTACCTTCGGGCTGGAGAAAAAGTCTCCCAGGAACAGCCTTTGACTGTAGAAAATTCAGTCCAAAACAAGGTATACACAAACTGTAACTTAAAATCCAAACAAACCAAACTGAAGTAATTAGTTTGGCAGGGCAGGAGAAGGAATTTCAAACTTGAAAGCACAGCAACACTCACATAGTTGGGAAGGTGCCAGGAACACAGATAAGCCACAATGATACAAGATAAATTCACATTTACTCCCAAAAACTTGCTGTGTGCAGCTTCCTTTTTTATACACTGTGTTCCCAGCTGCAGCTAATGAAGGAATCGGGGCCCTTTCCTCCCCCGTAAGCCATGCAACTGACATTGCTCTCTTCTCTGTTCCTCCCTGCATGCCCTAGGATGAAGAGGGGATGGGCCTGGATCTTCCTCTGAATTCCCTCTCCCTTGCTCTACCTGTCCCGCTGCTCTGCCCAGCCGGACTGTGCCCTTCCCCAGTTTCTTCCACAGCCAACGGAGCCACACTCCCACTCCCTGTCACGTGTTCAGCTTCCTCCTCCGAGTCAGATTCCGACACGGGCATGACAGAAATGTTCTCTTCATCCTCTCTTTGGCAGGTTTCTGCACTGCTGGGTTTTACTGTGCCGGGGGAGCATTTGATGCTGTCCCTCAAAGCTCACCTGAGTTTCCACTAAATGGACCTTGCCCCCGGGGGCACTTTTGCCCAGAAGGCACTCCATCTCCCATCGCCTGTCCAGTGGGCACTCTGAATAATGGGACAGGTGAGTATAGCTTGGAAGACCATCCCCAGGGTTGATTTCAAGGTCAGCTACCAGGGGTGGGCTGCTACGGGTTTGCCTGGTTTTGGGGGGACCCGTTGCTAACATTATGGCTGGTTCAGAGAACCGCCAAATCCCACCTCTGTCTGGCCCCTTCCACCCTTCCCCTCCCCTTCCCTCCCAGGAGTCTCCATGCAGCCCAGTTTGGATGTGAGGTAAGTGCAGGGCCCATGTAGAGGCTCAGGGAGGGTGGAAAATGGGCCGCCTGGAAGTTCCGGAAGTCCAGAAACGGGCCCATTTCCGGCCTCCAGAGGGCCTTCGGAGCCTGGGGGAGGCAGAGAGGCTCGAGGAAAGCCTCTGGAGCCTGGGGAAGGTGAAAACACCTCCCCCCAACCTGCCATGGTGCAGGGGGCTGACTAGGCCATGCCCAACATGGTCACATCCACCCAGCAACCGGGCAGAGAATTCGCTGCTGAAATTTTTGGAGCCCACCTCCGTCAGCTACCAAGGGGTTTCTCCAGCTACAAGGAGCTGAGTTCACACAAATGGATGCCAAAGATCATACTTGTCCTTCAAAAGAAGGTCCTCACCTTCTTGCCTTCCCACCTCCCTGCCTGACTTAAGGAATGAAAGACTTCTGCAGGATTCTGTATTTATTTGATTTGATTTGTCAATTGCTTACAAGGTAACAGGTATAAGCATAAACATAATTATGAATACATGAAATGGATACGTATAAGAAAAATAAAAAGAAACAATAGGATAAAAAGAAACAATAATAGTAAGGCTTGTGGGGAAATTGTAGTTAAATAGAATGGGATGGGGAATCTCCACAGACCTTTATGGCAGCTAATGGTCTTGTGAGAAAGAGGGAGGACAGGAGAAGTTGTGGGAACCTAGATGAATAATGAGGTCCTTAGGGAAGATACAAGAGGGGTAATATTTCATAACCCTCCCTCTCACTAGATACTTCTACTCCACCTCTTTACTTAAAGGGTGGGCAGAAAATCTTGTAGTTCTCTGATTTCAGTGTATTAAAAATGTTATTTATAGAATCAATAGATCTTCTTCTCCCTGTTACTTCCCTGAGGTAAATCCTGATTGTTTAACTTTGTTCCTGCGGTGAAGGCAAAACAAATAGATGCCATTTGTGCTGAAAATAATTGCTTTGCTCATTTTAATGGAGAAATATCAAGTACAAACAGCTCTCGGTCAACACCGTTCCTTTCCCTCTAATCCTAAGGCATCCTATCCTTTATTCCCAGTTGTAATTAACATTAAAAAAATTATATTTAAAAGAAATAGAAGGTTTTTTCTTATGAAAGCCACCATTCGGCTCGCATCTCTTCCTTCGGTTCACTCAGGTAGTGAAGGTTGTACAAATTCACTCTTGGCTGGTCCTTTGATGTGGTTCTCCATGGAAAAACTGGGCATCTTTTGATCCTATAGGAGGATCCTCTCCAGATTACTGTGTGCCTTGCTACCCAGGATTCTTCTGTGCAGCCATGGGGATGAGTTCGCCTACTGGACCTTGTACGGCTGGTTTCTACTGCCCAGCAAACTTCAGTTCATTCAGCCCGACTGCATTCCTCTGCCCGGAGGTCTGTTCTATCAGCTAAAATATTGTGTACTTTGTGGTGCAAACACCTGCTGACCTCAAACAGTGAGGACTGTGGGGCAGTGAATTAAGCTCAGTGAGCCTGTCATAATAGAGTGAAATGAAATGTCATGAAATGCCATACATTCACCACAATGCCCTTCTAAAGGCAGGATAGCATATTCTTAAAGAATGTTGGGGTGCAGTGAGGGAATTTAGCCCTATTTCACAGAAAGGAAGGAAAGAAGGAAGGAGAGAAGGAGGAGGAGAGGAAGGAAGGAAGGAGAGGAGAAGTGGAGGAGAGGACAGGAGGAGGAGAGGAGGGAAGGAAGGAAAGAAAGAAAGAAAGATGGAGGAGAGGAGGAGGAGGGGAGAAGGAGAGGAGGAGGGAAGGAGAGGAAGAGGATAGGAAGGAAGGAAAGAGAGGAGAAGTGAAGGAGAGGACAGGAAGAGGAGAGGAGGAGGGAAGGAGGGAGAGGAGGAGGGGAGGAAGAGGAGGAGGGAAGGAAGGAAGGAAGGAGAGGAGGAGAGGAGAGGAAGAGAAGGGAAGGAAGGAAAGAGAGGAGGAGAGGAGAAGGAGGGAAGGAAGGAAGGAGAGGAGGAGGAAAGGAAGGAAAGAAAGAGAGGAGAAAAGGAGGAGAGGAGGAGGAGAAAAGGAGGAGGAGGGAAGGAAGGGAGGAAGGAAGGAGAGGAGAAGGAGAAAAAGAAGGAAGGAAATTCCTCTTTTTTTGTTTTCTTCCTTTTCATATTTATGCTATTTCCTCTCCATAAAAACAGACAATTACTTCTTCCAAGAAATAAAAAGGCACATGCTGGAGAAAGCAAAATTTAAACTACTTGCCTCACCTGTGCTGCTTCTGCCTGTCTCTTCTTCACAGGGCCATTTCTGCCTGTCTGGGGCAACCCACCCCACTCCATGTCCCACTGGAGAATATCAGCCCAACCGAGGTTCGGCACACTGTCTCCCCTGCCAATCTGGTTTCTACTGCCACGAGGCTTCTCCCGGGGAACCCAAGCACTGCCCACCCTATTCCTATTGTCCTGAAGGTATGGAACTGTGAACATGGCAGGAGCATCTGTGGGGTATGGTTAAAAAAAGCCCACCAAGATGAGAGTCTCAATAATGAGGTTGATGCTCCATCTGGAAAACAGAGGGAGCTACCATGGTGGCCAACATGTGGCCACTTTTCAGGCCATACCCTGCAGACATGTCTAGGAAATGCATTAGCAAAAGCACCAGGGCTGCAAACTTTAACGGACTGAGTCATCAACTGATTCATCAGTTGAAGGTAAAAACTTGCTGGTTAATTGGAGCAAAGAGATATGAGAAAAGATTCCTTGACTCAAGGAAGTCCATCCTCTTTCTTCAAATTCAGATTTGAACACTGGGCCCTATCTAACAAAATGAAATCCATTGTAGAGAAAAGTAAAGTCCTAGACTTAGGCAAGAAAACCCCCAAAAGTACACCTATAGATGGGGTGAAACCAGGCTTAATATCTGTCACTGTGAGAGGGATCTTGGAGTCCTAGTGGACAACCAGTTAAATATGAGCCAGCAGCCAATGCAATCCTAAATTGCAATTAGAGAGGGATACAATCAAGATCAAGGGAGGTACTAATACCACTCTATAAAGCCTTAGTAAGACCACACCTAGAGTACTGCATCCAGTTTTGGTCACCACACTATACAAAAAGATGTTGAGACTCTAGAAAGAGTGCAGAGAAGAGTAACCAAGATAATTAGGGGACTGGAGGCTAAAACATGATGAATGGTTGCAGGAACTGGGCATGGCTAGTCTAGTGAAGAGAAGGACCAGAGGAGACAGGGTAGCAGTCTTCCAGAATTTGAGGGGCTGCCACAGAGAGCAGGGAGTCAAGCTATTTCCCAAAGCCCCTGAAGGCCAGACAAGGAATAATAGATGGATGCTGATCAAAGAGAAATTCAACCTGGAAACAAGGAGAAATTTTCTGACAGTGAGGACCATCAACCGATGGAACAGAAGTTGCCTTCGGAAGTTGTGGGAGCTTCATCACTGGAAGCTTTCAAGAAGAGACTGGACTGCCATCTGTCAGAAATGGTATAGGGTCTCCTGCTTGGGTGGGGGTTTGGACCAGATGATCTCCGAGGTCCCTTCCACCTCTGTTAATCTGTTTTAAAAAATCTGTTGAATTTGTCATCAAAGAAACTGACAAGAAAAATTTTCCTACCCAATGTTGCAGCTGAAACTTCCCAATTGTTTCCCTTTGATGTATCATCTCCTCTTACTTCTAAGAGACAGCCTAGTAATACCTTGAGTTGGATTTGCAAGCCATTGCAAGCCATTTCTAAGAGAAAATGAATCATCCAACTTACCTTCTAAGGCAGAATCCAAACAAGTGAGGTATATCTTATCTTCTTAGGTACTTTGGTTCCCCTCCCGTGTCCCGATGGCACCTTCACTTTTCCAGATGCTTTTGGGCTACGAAAAGAGAGAGATTGTCTTCCTTGCTCTCCTGGTCACTACTGCAGGTTGTACAATATTTCTGCTACCTCTGCAAATTGTAATTTTTAGGATCAGTGTGCTTCATTGGATTGGAAAGATTTATCGGCTGTCTTTCTTTTCAGAGAAATCTGTAAGGCAGCTAATAAAATAAAACAGGAGAGAGAATAAGAATAGTAAGTAATAAACCATGACATGTATTAGACTGTAAAGGTGAGGCGTGACTTGGGATCAGCTAGGGAAAAAATGTGAGTAGAGTAGAGTAAAGTAGAGTGTATTAGAGTACAATATAGAATACAGAATAGAGTAGAGTGTATTAGAGTAGAGTACAATATAGAATGTAGAGTGTAGTAGAGTAAAGTAGAGTACAATATAGAATATAGAATATATAGCATAGCATAGCATAGCATATATAGCGTAGCATAGTATAGCGTAGCATAGAATAACAGAATTGGAAGGGGCCTTAGAGGTCTTCTAGTCCAACCCTCTGCTTAGGCAGGAAATCCTACACCGGTATAACCAAGATACAATTCTTCCCAGTCCAAATCTAGCTTTGCAAATGCAGGTAATTATATTTCTGTCACTCAAATGCAAACCCTTCTATGAAGGCTTTCTGATGATGCTGTCAAAATCCAATCCTCTCAAGAGAAGGCCATTATTGAAGCTGCTTCAGCCATGGAAAAATCCAATCCAATCAAATATCCAGGCTTTACTCCTTCCGGAGTTTTCACTCAACTTTTCCTTCTAACTTCCATGTCTCCTTTAAAGATATTTTACCCCTTGTTTAATTTCGGTTTTGTTTCTCTAATTCTGTGGCTCAGTTTGGTTTGAAGGGATGCACTGTTTCATGCAATGCTGTAAACTAATATTTCTCCATTTCAGCTACTTTAAGATGGGTGGAGTCCCACTTCCAAAATTCCCCAGCCAGGATGTTGGCTGGGAATTTGGGGAGGTTGAAGTCCACCCATCTTAAAGTTCTTGAAGTTAAGACACACTGCTGTAAACTCTCTGTATCAATTCATTTGGGAGAAACGTCACAGAGAAATGATTGCGTACTAAATTATTTTCCTTGCCTTCTCAATGAAGTCCTAGCATTTTCTTTGCTCCAGGAGAGGACAGATGGAAGGACCATGTGCTGCTGGCTTCTTCTGCCAAGAGGGAAGTTCTGATGCCACACCACAGGGTTACAACTTCACTTGGACTCCCCTGGCTGATTGTCTCTGGGGAGAAAGGTGTGCGGGCCCTTGTCCAGCAGGTACCTGTTGTTGTTGTTAGTTGCAAAGTCATGTCTGACCCATTGCGACTCCATGGACAACATTCCTTCAGGCCTTCCTGTTCTCTACCATCCCCTAGAGTCCATTTAAGCTCACACCAACTCCATCCAGCCACCTAATTCTCTGCCGTCCCTTTCTTCTTCTTTTGCCTTCCATTGTTCCTAGCATTAGGCTCTTCTCCAGGGAGTCCTTCCTTCTCACGAGGTAGCCAAAGTCTTGGAGTTTCATCTTCAGGATCTGGCCTTCTAAAGAGCAGTCAGGGTGGATCTCCTCTAGGACTGACCGGTTGGATGGCCTTGCAGTCCAAGGGACTCGCAGGAGTCCTCTCCTCCAGCCCCAGAGTTCAAAGGCCTCCATTCTTTGGCACTCATCCTTCCTTACGGTCCAATTTTCACAGCCCTACATTGCAACTGGGAAAACCACAGCCTTGACTAGACGCACTTTTGTTGGCAGGGTGAGGTCTCTGCTTTGTAGTAGGCTGTTTAGATTTGCCACAGCTTTCCTCCCCAGGAGCAAGCATCTTTTAATTTCTTGGCTGCAGTCCCCATCTGCGGTGATCTTAGAGCCCAGGAAAATAAAATCTGTCACTACCTCCCTTTCTTTCCTATCTATTTGCCAGGAATTGAGAGGGCCGGATGCCATGATCTCACTTTTCTTAATGTTGATTTTTAAGCCAACTTTTGCACTCTCCTTCACCCGCACCAAGAAGCTCTTTAGTTCCTCTTCACTTCCTGCCATTAGAGTGGTATCATCTGCATATCTGAGGTTGTTGATATTTCTCCCGGCAATCTTAATTCCAATTTTTTGTTTCTGTACAGTCTTGCCGGAGTTCTTTCCCAATTTTTAACCTGAGTGTCCTAGAAAATAGTCTGAAGAACACCTGAAGAAATAGAGTCTAAGAATAGATAGCCAGCATTTGGGGCGCCTAAATATTTGATAATGGTTGTTGAAGAACTATGCAATTTTTTTGTTCTGTAGATGCTGTTTAGAGACCTAAATCCCATGATACACACATTGGTTTGTTCCAAGCGTAGAGGTGGGGAATCTGTGACAATCCCTTTTAGAGATGTAGGCAATTCCCAGAAGCATC